CCTGGAAAGGGATTATTTTTGTTGGGGAAGAGCAGTACGTGATTTAGCTTGCTGCCTTTATTCAGGGTTATATCTAGTCATGCTAAACAGGAAGCTTACAAACTTCCTCTTTAACAGATATTGTCCAACAGCAGATCCTTATTCACCTATAATAACAAAAAGTTTCTTCATACTTTATCCTAAGGGAACCTTTATCTCAGGCCCTGCCGCCTTTGTGTCATTCTCTCTGAAAGTCCTCTTCCATGAACCAGTCCCTACTCTGCTGTTGAAAACACTTGTCTCTTCCCTTACCTACTTGCCTAGTTCACAGAGAGATTGCATACAAAAAATACCACTTTTTGCCAGCTGTTTTTCCAGGATGGGAGAGTTCCAGGCTCCTCCTTTCCTCAAGTCTAGGGTATCAGTACCACAGCTGAGGTTTGGAGCATAGCTTCAGTTTCTTTAGTTGTCTGACTGTGTTGGCTGCGTCCCTGGTTGTGTTTTGGTGAGTTTAAATGCAGTATTCCAATAGCTGTTGCAGCTGTTGCTTTGTTTTGGCTTCCTAGCCCTGATGAAAGATTCTTCACCTCCATTTAAAGCAGATTTTGATACATAATCTAAGTTCCAGAAACATCTCCAGTCACATTCTTCTGTACAAAAGCCTGTGAAAAGGATGTTTTTATTTTCAGAGAGCAAATGCTCTCTGAAGATGTCAGAGATCAAAAATAGAAAAGATGCATTTTGTGTTTCCCTACCCATTTATGTACCCTGCAGAAATATTAGTAATGAATGTACTTGATACTAATAATTATCATAAGAAGATAATATAAAATATAAGTTATTAATAAACATAGATACCTCACCACTGGTCTCCCTAGTGAACCTTAAAACTATACATCACCATGCGTGAAGTTTAATTAGGATGTGAATGTTTAAAAACAGTCATTAGTAGTTATTTTATTTGGGCATTTTTTTAATCACACAGCTGAGTGCAAGAGGAAAAAAAAAAGCCTTTAGTTCCTTTATGGAAAGTAACTTGTACTTATTATAGAAACAACCTTCATTCATATTCATCTGTGCATGCACTATATCCAATTTCAGAGGAGTAAAAATGAGCTTCCCTTGATGCCTGCTTAACTAGATTTATTTTATATTGCACACAGAAATGCACAGAATATTGGCCAGAGGAGCAGGTCACCTACGAAGGAATAGAAATCACAGTTAACCAAGTCATACAAGCAGATGATTACCGTTTAAGGCTCATCACCCTAAAGGTAAATCATTCAAGTGTACTTACCATAACTTGGCAATCTAAACAGTTAAACTGGGCTGTCCATGGGGAGCTGTGCAGAAATCCTCTCCACGGTTTACCACTGTACAACTATCAGTTGATACAACTATTGCTTGTCATTACTGCAGTCATTTTGGGTTTGCCCAATTCACCAGCATATAAAGGGTCTGTTAAAATAAGCAGGCAGGCAGGCAGATGTACAACCTGAAGCTTTCCAGGCCAGTTGTGATAGCAATGAGTTCACTCACTGGTTTAAAAAAAAAAAAAAAAAAAAAAGTGAGTTGTTTGTGCCCAGGTCTTGTGTGTTGACTGGTCATTTAGAATGGTGCGTTAGCCTAGGGTTGGCTTCTTACCAGTCTTTGCAAGTCATACTGAAGACAACACTAGTAATCTGCTAAACTCTGGTGATGTTTTGCAGCGTTCAAAGGCTTATGTTGTCTTTGGTGGCTGACACAGAAAAGGTGTTACCCTGATTTACACTGCCACGAGACTGTGTGTAGGTAGGATGGGCAGACTGCACAAAACATTTAGACTGTAATTTTTCTCTTTATAGAAGCATCATTAAGATGCTAAGATGCTGTCAGACTGATGCGGCCAGCATTTTTATACCTGCAGTGACTTTTGTGCTACTAACAAGAGGTAGGAGAGTTGAGACACGAGCAAAAAGCTGGCTGCAAAATTTTGCTTGCCTAGCTGGGTTTGTCAGCAGTGGAACTGCTGGTCCGCTTGTCACTTACCAGAACTGTGGTAACACAACTTCTCTTCACTGTAGTGAAGCCTTTTTCATAGGTACCATTCTAATTTAGGCAACACTTTATTCTGAGTAATTTGGCTGAGTTTGCAGGGAAGATGCTTTAGTGGATTGCTGTAGTCTAAGACAAACTGTTGATGTCCTTTTTAAAAAAAAAAAAAAAAAATTACCACATCATTCTCTATGCAAGCATTTCTGAGCATAGTATCCTTCCAACTAACTAGATGCCTAGTTTTAGATGCCAGTAACCATTCTGACATCTTGTGAATACAGAATTTCAGCATAAGTACTCAAGTTGCTTATCTAAAGTACCAGAGTCCTATTTACAACTGTTTCCATCACTAGATTCTGCAGTCCCAACTACATATTTTAATAAGAACCATCTATTTACGTAACCTTTTCAAGTCACTTGCCTACCACATCTAGCCCAACTTTGGTGTAATAACACAATTTCTTTCCAAGTTGGGGGTTGGGAAAAAACTCTTCTGTACAACCAGTTTGAAGGCTCTTCAGCCATTTGCTAATAGGTAGAAAGCCAGCATATGAAATCCTGAGTCTGAATTGAGTGTGGAAAGTCTCTCACTCGTGCTTTTTGTAAAGGCAGTAAGGAGAAGCTCGCACTCTCTGACAAATAAGAAGTCAAGATGATTTCCAAGTGTGTTATAGGCTTGCAATAGGCTGTATTTAAGATTGCTGAAGACAGTATAGTGCAGCGGCAAGTATAGTAGCTTGATTCTACTGGAATGAAACCAGCTTCCAGAACTGGTCATTTTTTTAGTTATGATGACAGAACAGAATTTCCTTAGTAAGCATATGAAATGTCTACCAAAATAGTTTCCTCAGTTGTTTAAAAAGTCACAGTTAAGTACAACGTTCAGTGTTAATGCATGTTGCATTTCTTAAATGTGGCATTAACTCTAGTGCTTTAGGTTGAATATTTTTTTATTTTCAGATTTTCCTATCAGAAAACACCCTTTCTCTCTCTTTATGAAAGGAAACTTTTTCCCCTCACTGGAGGAGGGATCATTCTGTTCCTTTTCAGGAAGATAACAGCCAGACTTGTTTTCAGATGGGAATTACAAGGAAGAAGCTTTAGATATTAGTATTACAGCATCATATCCAGGAAAGAAGTGCATTTTACCAGGTGCTGCACAATAAACAGCCCATAATAAAACCTGTGTTAAACTACTCTAAGTTTGTCATGTAGTAACAATAGTGGGGTAGTGGTTCTGGCCTATACAGGTTGTAACAGTCATGGTAGTGAAAGCTAGGAAAAAAAAAAAAAACATGAACTGAATCCTGTTCCTTTAATGAGAGGTAAAATGATCAGAAATGTCTGAAAATCCCACCAGCTACTGCATGTGCCAAAGGATGGACTGTCGTACTTGTCTCGGCACAAGGGACAGGATTTGGCAAGCCCCAGGATTTTGGAAAATGCTTAAGAAAGGCTTTGCAAGGACAAGGCTTATTTTCTTTCTCAAAAGAACCTGCCAATGTTGAGCCACTGATTCATTGTCTCAGCCTTAGCTCCAGTATACATGATGGTAGGCTTCAAACCATCAATTAAATCCTGCTTCCTCCTACATGTTCCCAAGCCTTCTCAATCTCAGGGAAGTACTGATAGAGAATATTTTATTAAAATCAAAATAAAGTGAACAGAATCAGCAAAGTCAAGATTCCTTTAGCAGAAGTATACAACTGGGAATAGTAAGGACAGAACTGAAGACAGCTGGAGTTGATAATTAGAATATTGGCTGTTTTCTGTTTCTGCCAAATGAGTGACTTTATGTAATGATTCATGTTTTTCTTCAGATGGCCTTTGTCTTTTTGCTTTTCTCCCAGTGTTATAGACAACACTTGGATTCTAATTTTCAAAACCAACTTAATGACTCTATTATTCATAACTTTGATGTCTCATGTATAGTCACATGTTCAAAAGTGACTGTGTATGTTCATGCAAGTACCTGGCCTAGTTCACTGTAGGAAGCTACTCCTATTCATCTAGCTATGATAGCCTGGAGCTCCTCTCTTAACCCAGAACATCATCTCACCAGCGTGTATAACCTGAGGGGAGGCTGTGTACTACACTAGTAAGGCGCTTTTTTCCTAAACTGAGCTAGATCTACCCTTAAGCTTCCTATGGCTGCACTTTAAGCAATTCAAACCAGTGTGAGCTGGAATAGTGACCAAGTGAAGAGCAGTCTGCCTTTGCCCAGCCTGTTGTTCCCACCCTTGTGCCATGTCTTCTCCTGTGCCAGCACAAGTGTGACTGGGGTAAAGCCTGAGAGGTAAACTGATCCAGTTGAAAACGAATCCAGTGGTGTTTTTTTGTTTGTTTAAGGGGTTTAAGTGGATTGCTTCCTGATCCAGTTCACAGCAGTGAAGCCCTGCAAAAGTATTTCTAGTTCAAGAGAAGGAGGGGAAGTGGTAGCCACAGATTTCCAGTCAGAGGAACTTAGAAGTCTAGATATCAGGAAATATTGCAAAATTGTTGTGCCTGGTTCTTCAGTAAGAGCCAAAGTTGCTCTTTTTTTCCTCCTGTCTTGAATTCAGCCAGCTGTGTGTTTAAGGGAAGGTTGTGGGAACTAACGCGTTCCTGGACCTTTTGAAGACATTTGTATAACCCAGCGCCAGCTGGCTCATGTAATGCCTGGAAGGGTAAGGCCGATTCACTGAGCTCTATTTTGTGATTTGGCATCTTTATAAATCGCACAGAAGGATGTCATGTTGGACACAAAATCAGAAGCACACGGTGCTACTTGGCATGCAGAAATTATAACAGTACATTTGTTTTATTCATCGCCTTGCTGAGACAAGGAGGGAACCAGAATTTGTGTGTCTCAAAAAGCCCTAGACTGCAGCTAGATACAATTCCCACCTCCCAAAGAGTCACTGAATTTCTCACGGTGTCTAAGAGAAATATAAAAGTGGCAAGAAGCTGATGTTAATCTGTGTGTCAGAGGAGATAGAAGAAAACTTATTTTTCTATCTCTGTCATCTAGCTAGCTGGCTAGCTATCCAACACTGAGATATGGCTTCTGGCTCTGTCTGTCAAAAACATTATGAAATCAATTATGTCACAAGCAGAGCTCTAGCTTTGCTGAATGAATCTGTCAGGAGGAGAAGAGGCTGGCTAGAGTTGTTTTGCACACGTCTTTGGCACTAAAAGAGCAGAGAGTTTTGGTGGGGCTTCAGTGATTTTTATTTATTTATTTTAAGGCAGTTTACAGAGATGCAGTGCTGATGTCCAGATATCTCTGTTGTGCAGCTTGCTGCCTGGCACCTTTGCATTAGCTTACTCATCTAATTCTGAAAGTAAAGACTCAAAAAAAATATATATTCATTATTACTTTATAACCGGAAGTCTTTTAAAAATTTTGTGTGTTTGTCTAAGCTGTCTATCTAATTGGATTGCAGAAAGGTGAAGAAGTCAGAAACCTGAAACATTACTGGTACACGTCTTGGCCAGACCAGAAAACACCGGATCAAGCTCCCCCTCTGTTGCAATTAGTACTGGAAGTGGAAGAGGCCATGCAGGATGCGGAAGAGAAAAATGCCCCAGTGATTGTTCACTGCAGGTAAATAAATGTGTATGACTTCCAGGAGCGTACCTAGACCAAACTTAACTTTTTTTTTTTTTTTAAATAAAAGTAATTGTTTTATTCAAGCGGACATCTGTAAAGAGTTTGACTGAGGTTTGTGTAATGTTTTGTAAAAGAAGTCAGCTGGTAGCACACTAAAATAAATAGTGTTGTGTCATAAAATGGGAATATTTTAGAGGAACTCTGTTGTGACCTGTTGGTAGTCCTGTGCTCTCAAACATCCTTATTAACAAAGCAAACATGGTGACTGGTAGTAAAATGTTCATATGATGCTCATTAACTAAGTTAATGTTCATTAACTGACTAGCCCTGAGTAGTGTGGACAGTGAACCATCAGCAAGGCATGCGTTGTGCTGAGCACTGTAGTCCCTCTGACTCTCATGGGAGGTGAGTCACCTTCAGCAGAACAGGGTTATTGTGGTTTCAGCCCTCAGTGATAACACACCTTTAAGAAAACAAATACAGTCTTATCATGAAGTTATACTTAATAGCAACTTGATGTTACAGGTAGGCTAGCAGTGGTGCTGTGATTCTGTGGATAAGGTGCCACTCGTGTGCAGTCTTGGGGGGATTATGGTTTTATGTCTTAGCACCTGCAGTTGGATCTGGGACAAGGTGCTACTTTCTTTCTGTGAAAATGGGAGGTCATTTGCTCCATTAGTAAAATATTCCTTTGTACTCTGGTCAACTCAAATATGGTATCACGTGAAAGATGAGAAACTTTTTTTGCCCAAACTTGTAGACGTGCAATTATGTCTTGATTCTTCTGCATGCAGCAAAGAGTGCTCTGAAGTCTTCAATGTCACTGTAAACCTGCTAGTTATTGTCAGAAAAAGTCAGCAGAGTAGGCACAGATAGTTTCAGGGCCAAAGATTTGATGTCAGTTGGGTACCTTCATCACAACTGCTTGAAGACTGAGATGAGTTCTTACAGAGCAAGACCATTCCCCAAATTTCCATTGAATTGCCTTGGTTTGGTCCTTCTGTACTATGGGTTAAAATGATTCCACTGTAGCTGTTGCTAAAGTAGTTGCCCTGAACAACACAATCATGGAGTCAAAGAACGTGGATAGCAGCTCTCTGCCAAACCCATTGTTGCTTGCACCTTTGTTGCTGGTGTTTTTGTGTTATGATTTCAGTGCATTTTAAACAGAAGCAGGTTTTCTTGCAGTTGTGTCAGGTAATTATTCCTGAGGATGCTCATTTAATTATTTAGCACACGAGAATGGCTGTCAGCTTTTGCTGCTAGTTCTTTATTAGATGGCAAGAAGAATTCACAGTTTTGATAGCACTGCTTTTGAGAGCAAAATCAATTCTGGTCATTAAACAAAGAATGGGTTAGGTGTTTTTTTTTGATCCCTACTAGATCAGGGAGCTATGAGGTTGCAGATCTGATCAGCAAAGGGTATCACACCTACATATTGGCGCTTGCCCTAATTATTTAAGCAAGATTTCTTTCACAGTAACTATGAAAGAAAATAGCTTCCAAAGAAGCTAAAATAGCTTTCAAAGAAGCTATTAGGGTCAAGAATCAAAGGGCAAGGGTTGCCCTCAAACCAAGTCCCACAATAAAACCACTGATTAATTGTTTCTTTTAAAAGAATCAGTTACATAAGAGAGCAGGCAGAAGCTAGGTAGTCTGTCTCTATTATGTGCAATAGGTGGTGGGAGTGGCTCACACCTAATTGTGTTGTCCAAGTGAAATGATTTTTTTTTCTGGTTACAGCTTTATATTCACAGGCATCCTTTGACATCTGACAGAGGTTGGAGGGAGGAAAGGGATAATGGGGATTGATTTTTTTTTTTTTTTTTTTATGGTGCTTATCATTTTTACCATATGGCAAGAATGCTGTAAAGCAATCTAACATCTTTCCTGCCTCTTCTCTTCCCCTCCGTAGCGCAGGCATTGGAAGGACTGGCTGCTTCATTGCCACCAGTGTCTGCTGTAAACAGCTAAAGAGCGAGGGCATAGTTGACATACTGCGAACAGCCTGCCAGCTACGGTTAGACAGGTAAGACAGCCTGTTTCCTTTCCAGAAAAATAACAACATTATTCTTTGCTTAAACAGAAGCAGGAAGAGGGAAAAAAACAAAGGCATGCGGAGGCCAAAAGAAAATGTTCCTGGAAGGAAGTTGTCCCATTCTGACTTGTAGCTTTGCTTATCTTATGAAAGCAACAAATCAAAAACAATAACCCTAGCAACTGATCTAGGTCCATAGCTGACATGAAAATCTGCACAGCTGTATGCACTTGAGTGTAGTAAGGGCCAGCCCTGTAGTTGTCCCTGTCTTTATCCAGAAGCCAAGGCTCAAAGGGTGGGCTGCAGCCAGATTCGGAGCCGCAGATCAGCACTCGGCTCTCAGGAGGGGCTGGGAGACCTGGCCTTGCTTAGCTGGAGCTGTGAGTGCTGCTGTCTGCCTTGCAGGGACAGGGAGGGCAAGGGCATGCAAGGGCCGGAGTGTTTGCAAACATTGGAAAAGAGATGCAAAGAACTCCAGACATTCAATGGTTTCCATCGAATTTCTTAGTACACCACCTTGAATTTGATTATGAAGTAAACAGGCATGAATTTTGCACCAGAGATGTTATTTTTCCTCTCCCACTGGTTTCAAGTACCATCAAAACACGTCTTAGTGCTCTCTGTAATGATAATGATAAATGTAGTCGGAGGAAGAGATGTCATGAAAAACATATCAAAGATTTTTCTGAGGGGGAACCTCAATCCCACGCTGAACTTGATTTCAGAGGAGCAATTACGCTCAGTAGGAGGCAGAAAATGAAATGCTTGCTGCCCTGCTGAGGCTCTGATAGACAGGGACCTGCAGGAGCCTTGGAGGTTTGGCTATTTCTGTGGATTTCAAGCCAGACCAGGAAAGGTTTCTTGAGAAATAAGAAAACCTGAATATGCATAGGGAGTGCTGCTTTTTCATGGCCCAGTGAAGCTGGCTGGATCTGAAATATTTTGTGTCTGTGAGTAAATGCAGGCAAATAGCCATACAAAGACACCCGCTCACAAAAGTGCTGTGTAGAGAAGACCCAATAAAAATACTAGCCTTGCAGGGAGAGATGAACCGGGAGTCATTTGCAGGGGGAGGAGAAAGGAGATCACAGTGAAGGATGTCGCAGAAGGGAAGGAAGTCTGCAGGGGCCCCTCTTGCTGCCATGTGCTTCTCAGGGTTGGGATGGAATAGGAAAAAGCTGTTTAGATTCAGAGAACTGTTTAAGGAGAGCGTAGTCGCAGGAGGGAAAGCAGTCCCACACCCTCCTTGCGATGGGAGAGCGTATTTTTTTCAAGGAATGGGGGATAAGAGCAGGACTTGCAGTCTCTTGTAAGTCATGCTGCCATCCACTGTCATTCTCACTAAACTCCCACAAAATCTCTGGGTGACTCCGGGAGCAGCATGTGGGGATGAGACTAAGCAACTACAGGAAGGAAGATCCTGTCTGCTCCCTTCCCTCTCCTGGCTGGTGGGAGCTGGCTAGACAAAATAGGGTGTGTGGAGAGGACTTGTCACTGGGCACTTGGGGAAACAGGAGTGGGCAGGGGCCGGAGCAGGTCCCTCGCTGTGCACAGCAGTAGAGGGGCTGGCTCTAGCCCAATGCTCCCTTGCAGGTTGCTGAGTGGGGTGAAAGGACAAATGTTTCTCTCCCTTCACACCATCATAAATCACTTGCAAAAAGCTGTGCTTTGGGCTCACAACTAGTGGCCCACGCTTGGTCCTAAAATAACCTGATGTGACTCAGGAGAGGAGCTGATCATTCCTGCATCCTTCCCATGGTGCTGAGACACATTTGCTGCCCTTTCCCACAGCGTAACTCACATCTGAAAGGTTTCTGTGGCAAACAGGGGTGAAACTCTGATTTCTCTCTATGTGCCAAAGCCTGGACAGCAAGTGTGTCATGGTGTGCACATGTGCACGCATGCATGTGGGAAAGGGAGGGAGCCTCACGAGGCAGGGAGCCACGTAAAAAGGAAATCATTTTCTGCAGTGTGGGACTCGATGGCCGCCCTAGCGCCTCTGTTGCTACAGCCTCAGGATAACCCCCTGCTGTCAGTGACACTGTAGGGGGAAGCAAGTGCCAGGTATGATGCACATTCCCTGCATGTCATGGGCTCACAGGAGGGGACTTCAGTGAGGCACAGAGGGACTCGGGCTAGCCGTGAGCCTGCGTTGTGAGCTGCTTAAAAATGCAGTGTGTTTCCCAACTTCACCTATCGACTGGAGCTTGTCGTGGGTCCCTGCCCTTCCCTTTGTCTTGAGGAAAGTATTTCAGGGAGCCCCATAACAAAATAACTTAGAGGCTGACAGAGGAGGTTGTCCGTGTCTTCATCTGCCCCTACTGCTATGGGGACTATGTGACCCACACTGGTGTGCATGGATGAGGACAGTCTCTCAGGAGGGGCTGCCTGTCTGCCTTCCCTTTGGCTCAGAGGAAGCAACTTCTCATTAATTTCCTGTGGGGTTTCGGAGGCAAAAGGCCACATATGCCCCTTCTCAAACTGACACAGTCTGTTCAGCGCCGGCCCCCCGCGGCTTCCGACGTCCCCGAGCGTCCGCGTCTGGGCTCAGTGCTCCCTGGCGCTGCGCTGCCTGCGTCTCTGCAGCGGTGCTGGCACGAGCTGGGGGAAGGCTGCTCTGAACGCGAGCAACAGGCTCGAGGTGGTGGTGTAGCGCCTTACTGAGGGATGGTGTTGCTGAGGTGCTCGCAGCAGAATCCAAATTCTAGTAAAATCTGCTCCAAATAGGCAAGTTGGTCTCCCATTGTAGTTTTTGTTAACATACTACTTGCATAAATGTGTAGGGTAACGGCACATGGAAAAGAAAATTACATTTCTGCCTTTGCTTGCATTTACTTTCAGGTTTGCATTTTTAAAGAGAACAGTAAGTGCTGAAACAAAAGCTAAACCAAAGCACAAATTTCTGTGCTGGGCATCTTGACTGTTGTCCCCACTTTGATTAGTAAATTTGATTTGTCCTTTCTTAACATTCCTCTTTTGCAAAGACTTGCTGGCCGTTCCTGCTTCCCTGGTAGCCTTGCCAAAAGCATGGCCTGAGATGGCCCAGCAGCACTGGTCCCCTGGGCTGGCCCAGCCCTTTGCAGGGCTGCACTTGGTCCCTGGGCCATGTGTGCAGCCTTGGAGAAACTGCTTCAGCTCTTCATTCCCTGGCCCCATTGGCCTGTGTATAGTTTCTTGTTGATGGTGCTTAGGATAGTGCTCAAGGTATAGGCACCCCACAGCACAAATGCCAGTGATGGGGGCAGTCCTCAGCGGCTTGAGGCCTCTGCTGAGGAAGATGAAGGTAAAGCCCATTGCTGTCCCGCGGGGAGCCGAGGCTTTCCGAGTGGAGCTCAAGGCCAGCCCGTGAGCTGACTGCAGTCAGTGGGTGCTGCTTCCTCCATTCCTCGGGGCTTTGGAGCAGACCTTTTCTGTGTCACACCAGTTTCATGTTATTTCTGCCATTTGCTAGATGTGGCTTGCATGTAATAAGGCTGCTGTTTCCCTCCCCCTTTTTTTTTTTTCCTTTTCAGGGGAGGAATGATCCAGACTTGTGAGCAGTATCAATTTGTCCATCATGTCATGAGCTTGTATGGAAAACAGCTTTCTAGAGCAGCAGAAGAATAAGTGTTCATGATATTCCTAAAGCCTAAAGTCAAGAGAACTTTTGACTGCATTCATATCTATTTCAGATCTGATAAGAGACACATGGTAACCTGGCTGTCCTAGCTGCAGAGAAAGAGAGATTATTTTACTTCGATATTGCTTTTATGCTCTTGTTTGCATTGACATTTAAGAGCTGAGGTATGCCTTGTCTTCAACACATGTGACAGGACATAAACTTCACCAAAAAAGGCTTATTAAACTGTAAATAAGAACAGTAGCTTCATTTGTTACAAAATCCAAAAAGAAAAAGCAACCCACTGTCTTCAGTTTGTTGTTTTTAAAATATAATTGCTAATATATCCAAAAACAGTGTGAAACTTTTTGAATTGTCATGCTGAAATATGTACCGTATGTTGGCTAAGCTTGAAAGTAACTTTTTGCCTCTGTTTTTACATATAAGATTACCGAATACTGTGTATATCGTAAACCTTCTGAGCCTCTGCATTGAAAGATTCAAGTAGATACACGTTGAAGTGAAATTTCACTCCTCCATGTTTGCTTGTTTGGGATTTTGTTTGTTTGTTTTTAAAAAGTCACCTCCAGGGTTACCACAACTAACAGGAAAGAATTATTTCACTGTCATGAGTCAAATTTTCACCTGCAATTCCTACCAGCAACGTACCCCAGAATGATGAAATCTTGGGTGAATCTGAGGTTAATATGAATATGAACTCTGTGCTTTATCTTTTATTTGTTAGCCTTTTGTAGTTTCGGACTGCATCCATTTTTTGCATAGTCAGACCACAATTCTAACACAATTCCTCCTGAAATTTCAAGTTTGAAATCAGGTGAGAAAATTTGACTTGATTTCATCTTTATTGAAAGTGCAATGATAAGATTGTTTGTGCTCTATGAATTTGAACTTGTTTCAAAGCTTTGAGGCTGACTGCATGCCCAGTGCATATGAAAATTAATGAGACTAGAAATGTAAATCCTGTAGGCAGCTTTAGAAAAATCTCATCCTGAGTGTGTTGACTGCTTTTTAATAAATTTGCCCTCACACCAAATTTAGACAATCATTAGCACCTTCTAATCCCTTGTCTGGGCAACAGTATTTCCTTTTAGATAATACAAACTGCTGCTCCTGCTTTTCTTTTTAGATCTCAGTCTGGCTGAAGACTGAAATTTATATTTAATGCTTAGAGGTAAGCACATATTTTAGTTCTTTATTGAGCAAAGAGAGGGGCATACAGAAGCTTTAACAAGAAAAGATGAGTGTTCCATGAATAGAGACCATAATGATCTACTAAAAATATTTTTACTTCTCTTTTTTTTGTAGTAATAATCCACACCCACCACTTTTATTAGTGCAGGAGATAGAGAATTTATTGCACTTGCTAATCAGGAGGGGGTAAAACAGCACTTGGAACAGTAAGGATTGATCCCCTCTGCTTCCCTGCTTCCACTGAGGTTTTGCCATTGCCTTCAGGAGGTGCAGGGTAGGGCCTGAAATGTTATGTCTACCACTTACTTGGTCACTGTGGGGAAGGCTTCCCAGCACTTCAGTACATACCTTTTGTGTTTATTCTGTATCCATGAATCTGTAAAGAAAAAAAAATCCTGTCAGCAGGATTTGCATGAATGTGTGGCAAAATGTGTTATCTTTAAACCACTTGATTTTATTGCTGTATTTAAAATATTTCCTTCAGTGAGAAGCTAGCAGGAAGAACTGGCATTCTTTTTAAAAATACTGGCGGTAGTCGTTAAATAGAGCAATAAACTTAAGCTTTTGAGCATAACATGACTGTTAGTTTTATGTAAACCTTGCTAGCTGTCTGTCCCCATTGCTCCAGATTCTTTCAAAGAGGTTATGCTCTTCTAAGCACTCATTAGAAAGAGCAAAAACACCACCAGTGTTCTGAATAATACTGTCAGTGGGACTCCCTATAAATAATATTTTCAGCTGTTCAGTGCCCTTCAGTGTCAAATCTGAGTCAGTGAATAAAATGACTTGTTCTGTCTGAGTTTGCTGTGGGGATTATTATTCTAATAAAGAATATTTGTTGATGATGGGTAGGCGTGCACATAGGAGAGAAGGTGAACATGTAAGTTGCCTCCTGTATAAGAAGACTTCCTAGAGGAGAGTTGCTCTATGGCAAGCAAGATATGAAGGTATCTAAAATGCTGTTTTTGAGGTCCTTGCAAGATCCTTAGCAGGTATTATTTGGCATTCCCCCATTGACTTGAGTAGGAGTAAATGTTCATATAGATGAAGGAAATGTAGCTTGTGGCCCACTCCCATTCTCCAAATATCGACTGTCCTGAGAGAGCAGTCTCTGACTTAGTGCTGCTTTGTATCAACTCGCTTGTCCAGAGCGAGTATCAGCCTAGTTACACTGTGTGGTTATGAGAGCTAAACTGCCACTGTCTCACACCAGGCGAGAACATACGACTTAGTCTAGACCAAAATGTTCAAATGCTTCTTGAAGTGTTATTTTGTCTAGTAGAGTTGAAGATAATCCTCCTATTTGCTCTTTGCTCTTACCATAATTATTAATTAACATATTTCTGTCTCTCACTTCTTTTTCCAGAATTTAAGGTCTGAAGAACATTAGATGGGCTGTTCTGACCTCTTCTGACTGCAGTGGTAGTCTTAAGAAGTGCGTTAGGATTAACAGAAAGGAGCCCTGCCTGTGCAGAAGCACTTGAGATGAGTGGAGCTGCTACTTCTGTTTTTCTGTAGGTTTGAAGCTGAGCTGACTAGGAAAAAAACTGTGCTGTGCATCTTTCCAGGCACCTCTCTTCACAAGGGACTTTTTTTTTTTTTTTTCTTAAGAAAGAATTCCTAGCACACTTTTCCAAGCCTTTCCACATCACTGCTCAGGCCTCTTTGTACCAGAGACTACAGAGTTAATATTTGCAACACAGTTGTTTCCCAGAGAATGAAATTCCTCTCTCTGGGTAGATGAGCGTATAACAAACCTGAGACCTGAGATTTTATTTAAAAGGCTCAAGAGTTCAAGAAAGAACTAAACAGGATCTTGGTTCCTATCATTTACCTGCCGCACATGCAGCGGAGGGAGGGTGCAACTTGCAGACAGGCAGTCTTAGAAATACGTGTGTTGCCTGGGGAGCTGGCAGGTTTTAGGAGCACATCTATCCCTCCCCAAACCTAGCTGGAAACAGTTTTAAACACAGGGTAAACTTCAAAACTTTAAAATCATAACTGTCTCTCTCTCTCTCTTTTTTTTTTTCTTCCCTCCAGGAAAAAAAAAATATTCTGTACCAAAGCATGGGAGAAACACATATGAATGAAAGTATTTGCAGCTTTGTTCATGAGGGAGCAATATGAACTTCTGCACAGAGAAGCTGCCCACACTTGAACTCCAAGGAGTCCCTAGCAGTGCAGTAGCAAGGCTGACACGGGCGATAGAGAAGCAGAATCGCAGGGAAAGGTTAAATGATTTAACTCAGAGCTAAAAGCCACGTTGGCCCCAGAGCTGGCAATGTGGCCCAGGGCATGTAAGAAGAGAAAGCTTAGGCAGTCTGGTGAAGGGCCTGGGTATTGCAATTCCTTCATTCTCTCTGCTGGACAATGCCACTCAGCTTTGGTTTCCTACTGCTTATTGCCTCTTTTTGGAGGAACAGTAATGTTTACCTGAGGCAAAGTGTTATTACTGTGTCTTTGTTCCTCCAGTCCTAGCAGCAGCTGTGAGATATCTGCTTTCCTCTTAAAAGGCAAAGGCTTTTCACAGCAACACTTCCTGGCAGGGATCAGAGGGAAAGGATTCTGCACAGCTCCACTTGGTTTCATCCTTCTCCTTTGCATGCTTAGCGTGTTTGCCTCTGAACTGGGCATGAGGAAAGCTGTCAGGAGTGCAGAGGACTTGGGAAATAGAGACAGCAGTAGCTTGCAGGTGAGCTCTGAGCAAGGGGAGGGCTCTGTTAGGATGGTCTACTTGATTATCAGGGGAAGAAGGAAAGATAGAACAACATTATGATGCGTGGGGTCAAGCGAGCTACATTTTGTCTCTGATTTTACACTTTGATAACTAAACCGGTGCTTGAGTGTGCGTGCATGTAGCCTGATTTTGTATATGACTAGACCTGTAATGGTGTTTCTGATGACATTTGGTGTGGATTGCTCCTTTTATAGAGCGAGTAAAAATCTCTTCATGGACATGTATGGGACACAGGCTTTAGTTCATTAGGTCTTCCCAAGAACTGTTCTGCCTAGTGTTCTTGAATTCAGGTATCTAAATTAGAAGGTCCTTTTCTTCCATGGAAAATTCTGATAGTCAACTGATTATTCTGTTATTTTCTACCCTAGCAGATGCTGAAATTCAAGTTCAGAGGGCCATTTCCCTTGCAGCAGATATTTGTGTGCATCTGCACGTTTGGGCAGAAGGTTTAAAGAGGCTTTTTGTTTGTCTGAGTAGGTTTTGGATTGCCAGACCAAATGTGTGAGGGAACCAGCTGCTTCCAGACTGCTGCTTTCCTTGTGGCCTCTCAGGCAATAGCACCTCTTGGCTTCCTCACCTCTCTGACTGAGGCTGCTACTCTGGGCTCCAACATCTCTTGAAGTCCTTTAGCTGTTCACGGTTATTTTTTACTTACTGAAAAAGCTGACACAGTTTCTATCTCAGCACATTTCTTTATTTGTCAGACTTGTTACCTTCCTCTTTCTTTCCTAGAATAGCAAAAATCATCTAAATTCATCAGTAAAGGCTGTATATCCCCGAGGGATTTCCCGTTGCCTTTCTGAGGAGTTTTCCACTGGAATTATTGCTGATGGCCTCTGGAACCTGGTAACATCTCTGGGACCTTTGGTTTTCTAAGTTTCTGTATCTCACAAAGTAATTATTATAATTATTATTATTATTACAAAGCATCAAGTAGATTATTACTCTTGACACCTCCTGTGCCAGGCTCCCTTCTTATTTGAGCTTAAGTGCGCAGTAAGTAACAGCAACCTGTTCTGATCATGCATCAAATGCAGACAGTGGGAAGAAGCAGTTTTGCTCTGCTAGTTCAGCACTGATCACAAGCAAAGGATTTAGTGTCCTTCAAAATGCGTAGATCCGTATGCGTGTAAGATGGTCCCTTGTACTATTTTAGTGCTGTTGCACTTGCATTAGTGATTTAGGTCTGCTAAATACCCAGGCTGGGGTCTGTAATCCATTTTTCTCTCAAGGGATACCTTACTCTGTCAGAAAAAAAGCACCATTTGAGCAAGAGTGACAGACTTTCTACAAAGTGTAAAAGCACTAATTAAAGAATTATCACAGTACCTATAA